CCCCCCCCCCCCCCCCCCCCACCCTCCACCGCCTCTACCACATAAAAGCGGAATCGCTACTCCCTCTGTGACATTTTAGCTGACGGCGGCGCAGTGTACTCGCATGTTGTTGAGGGTTATTCACCACACTGATTGCCCAGGCCTCCTTTTGCCGTACAAGTCTAGAGGTGCCTGACGATCGGATGACGGCAAGGGCCAGCGACAGCTAACAGTTTGCCTTTTGGCCCTCTCTGTTTCCATCTGTATTCACATACCCATCGCAGCTTATTGTCGAGCGCATTTTGCGCATGGCCTATTCGCACATGGTGATCGGCTACACTCTAACAATTCAGACCGACACTGAAACGGACAAGCGTGTCCCCGTAGCCCAAGTGAGGCCTTCCAAAGACCTATAACTCCTACATACAGTTAGTCGTGCATAGCGTCGCTGAGGGGTACTTGTTCGCGCCATGCGTTTCTTTCTCTTGGAAATCGCAATCTCGGCACTCGGACGATCTCCCATTTCAACATCGCAAACAGGGGACAGTGGGGGTGTTTCCTATGGCGTCCCGCCACACTCAAATGCTCCTCTTTCCCTCCCAAAACAAGCACCTACCAGATTCCGATTTCAGAGGCATGAAAAAGGGACAGGTCTCTTGCGCGTGGCTGCGACCATCCCGCAAACCAGGTTCCGGGTCTGCGTGGAAACTTCGATAGCGGCATCGTGGTGCAGGACACACAGGGCTGAGGACTGTATGTACGGAGCACGGAGTATTTGTCATGAGCGAACCATGGATTTAGTTGGTGAGAACCCCATCAAGATCCCGCGCCCCTACCGGCATCAAAACACACGGTGAGCAGGCTTCGTACGAGTAATTGGTGCTGTCGGCCCAACTCGGTCGCGTAGAAGTTTTCATCATCCAAGTCTGACCTGGTAGCCCACGTCCGTCTGACATGCAAGCGGTTTTTCTGACTGACAGAAACAATTTGGAACTTGAACACAAAGTTAATTCGAAGTCTAGTTGATCCTTGTCTCCTCAAATCAGCACCGATCACTTATCCAAACCCATCTGACTAGGAGCTTGTCGCATCGCCGTTTGCTCGCTTGTCGACGCAATCGTTTTTTCTTTCTCAGCCGCAGCTTGGATGTTGGCGGGATCAGCTCTAGCCCGGTGGTGGGGGGCACGTATCCTGGTAGCGCAGGTGCTCCGGCAAGCTAAATTGCTTACCTGATAATTGAGCCCAGCCCGACTATTTATAAAGCAGCTCTGGTGGCTCTGGTTTTGTATTGCGGTCCTACAGACACATGGTCCCAAAGTACACCCTGACAATAAGCTAATTGCAGTCTGCAGTGAACCGACCCAGGCTGCGGTCGGCATACACTCTCCTCCATGGAGGCTTTCCCAGTTTCGACCCTTCAAGGAATGCATACTGACCAGCAGAATAAATGAGGCAAGGAGCGGATCACTTGTTACGGCTGCCAAGTCGCTTCGAAAGCGAGTACGACCACGCTGTGTCATCGAACTCATTCTTCCGCCCGCCTGCACCGTCATTTGCATACTAAGCTCGCACCGCATCTTGTGATGACCATGGTTACCGTCAATTGGTAGATTCCAATGCAATTACGAGCATCTATGGTTGGTAGGACAGCCAGTATACGAGAGGGCCGTCCGTAAACGGCTATTCGTGCAACCCAGCCGCGAAACATTAGCCGAGCGCATACTAGTATTGCTCTGGTGGCTCTGTCGACCGCTTGGATCAAGCGACAAACTCCGCTTCAAGTCAGCGGGAAAGATCACAGCTGTAGCCTTCAGATTCATCCCAGGGACGCCCAGGCTAATCTTGCCAGCACGCTTACTCGTCGTTCCTTCGATCTCTTTTTGACCGCACATTTTGCTGCTCACCGCAGGACCCAGGACTCGACAACTGCTGTTGCGCCGCGGGGTTTCGTGGACTGCATCGGTAATGCTTCCGTTCGAGAGCATCCCCACGAGACACGAAATGCGGCTTCATATTCCTGGACGGACGAGGGTGAGTGATCCCCAAAAAGGACCATGCTTACCAACTCAACTTATCGGTGGGCTGCTCCAATGGCAAGCCTGTGAAGATTTTCCTCTCATGCCACACTTCCCTATTTACACCGCGTCCGGCAGCCATTTGCCGGCCACAGCAAAAGTTGGACCACATAGTCGTCTCACTCGTACTAGCCCTCATCGAATGTCGGTGCGAGACAGGTTAAAGTTGATGCTTCCCCATGAATTTTGGTAGGGGCCAGCTATCGAACCCCCAATTTCGCCGAGGGCAAATCCTTCACTAATCCATACCTAGGTACGTAAGTACCTATCACCTCTCAGCCTTGTTGGTTTCACCTTCATACCGTCACCTGATTCCTCCGTCATTTGGCAAGAACATTATCAAAAAAAAATGTCAGCCATAACTTCAACTCGTTTACAGAGGTAAGCTATCATCTTGGCAACTGCAGGCGTAATAAGCTTGGAACACGAAGAGCTCACTGTGAATTCTTCCTAAGGCCACTCTCCGGTCGCGCTGCTTGCCCCATTATAGGAAAATGAGATTGGCTGCCATATTCACGCGCATCTAACGATCTGCCGTTCCCAGACTTCCTGGAAAGCTGCGGTGAGATGTGGCCAGAGGGTCAGTTGGTCCTCCATACTGGCTTTTGTCAAACCTATCCTTTTTCAGGTTCGGCGTGGGTGGAAAGAGTATGTCTTGGACCAAGTCCCACACCGAAAGGCTTCTAAAATGATAGGGTACATGATCTACATTGAACTAGCGAATAGTAACAGAAAACCGTACCATTGTTATTCGAGTACGTTCTGCCTATGTCCGTGACCAAGTTGCTGACTGGACATCGTGATAGGATCAGCCTCGACGGGCAAAATTTGGCTCTCATGTTGCTGTGGATGGCCGCCACTAATCCTGCTCAGAAACACAGGAGTTGTCGGCCCCATCGACGGTTGGAGACCGACTTCTTAAACATCCATGCGGAAGAGATTTTGCTACTCTCTAACCCTTATACGGCGGCAACGAGTTTATCCAACTCGAGCCTAACCTCTGATCGTTTATCCTTCACACTCAAAAGCATTGCTCGGCATTGCTTAACAGCACCATAGGCACCATAGCTCGGGCAAGTGGTGGGGATCCATTCACTTTTCTGTCAAGATCTCACTGAAGGATCATGATTGTCGACATGGTGGCGGCCTAAGTAGCCATAACCTTGCTGGGAATAGGCATAACAGCGGCCAAACCCCTATGGCACAGAGCACCGACAAGCTTAAAGCTTACAATTTCCAATTGACCACGTGCAATCCTTGGGGTAGGGAGACTACACTACCCAATGCAACTGCCAGCAACCTGGTGGCGGTAATGGGTGGCAGCTTCGGTCAGAGGTGGCAATGATCAAGCCAGCTTGAATATCCTATTTCGAACTAGTCCACCTATTGAACCGCCCGTTTCTTGCAATAGTGCTCTTTCTGTCTCTATTTCGCCACGGACCTAGGCAGGCAATGCTATCGACGGGGGTAGGACGATGCACACGGCCTTTCAGGTTCATGTGCCGCCCAAGCAACAGTCTCCCCAGACGCGTTATCACGGATTAAGAATGGACTACAACACATCCAGGACCTAACCCGCGTGGCTTAAAGCTGACGAAGAGCGAAGTTCGTAGATAGGAGCCAGCGACTCATTGTAGAACCGAATAGACGGCCACCTTCTCCGTCCTTGAGCAATCACCGGAAGATCATGATATGAGACAGAATATCTACTGGCCTGTCCGGCAACGACACAGCCGAGATGCATCAAAGATACCCCTGTATTCCCATTTCTAGACCCTTATTTATGGATCAACGTCTCTGGGACTGCCCACTTGCTTACGAAATCAATGATGGCGCGGTCGATATTGTGGGTTTCTCTCTGAGAGGCCCACTCAGCCAACAGCAAGATTACAGCGTTGTCCAGGGGTTGGTTGACACAACAACGTGTCTCAGGGCAACAACGATCGCCACAGAGGGTAGGGAGTAATGACGCTCTTCCTTCGAATTGGAGGCAAACTTTGCCCCTTGACCCTTCACACTTGACCCTTCACACCCGCATTTCTCTAATCTTCACCTCCTAGTATTCAGCCAGGTGACCCAGTGTGCATAACCACCAGTCTTGGCCCGAATGTGTCTGGTTGGGGCTGACGAGGCTCTGTTTGTTTGGCTTTAGATGAACAGCAATGCAGAGGTGTATGAAGACGATTGAGTCACTCATTGAACTTTGCGGCAATGAGTCCTTGTGGCTGCAAGACCTAAAAGAAGTCATTTGACAGCTGTCGAAGAGCTAGATGGTACGTTCTCACCATGCCGGCTTCTCCAGTGATGAAAACACACTTCTGCCACATTCTGACGAAGAGCAGCAAGAGACCATTAATGATCAGATTGACAATAAAATCGAGCATGAAAACAATAGCGTGGGAGAACACCCCCTCCACCTATGATAAAATCCCTTGCTCGTTTGGCGAAGGGAAGCTCACCTCTTGTGATAGCTCATCCTTGACACGCCCTTATTTTCTACCACAACGCCGCGGGTATCCGACTCAACGACAGCTTCTATCCTTTCTGCTCTACTTGTGTTACCATTAGCATTTCTTCAACCACTCTAGTTGGTACTCTGCATGCTCCCTTCCTGTCGCAAAAGCTCGTTGGAGTTTGTACAAGATGCAAAGGAATGACCCAAATGTAGGCTGTTGCGAAAAGAGGGGAATGGAGCAAAAAGGAAGAGGGGGGAAGGCGGAAACACGTTTCTAGGCAGTTGTTCTTTTGACCGGTTGAAGTCACGGGACCTCCCCTCCAGGCTCTGCGTCGGTCGCAAAGGCACATGCCTTGGCTTAAAGTCTTTAGTGTTGAAGACCCCCTCTCCAGACTGAGCCCGTCAGTAGACGGCTGTTTCTAGAAGTCGAGTGACAAAGCGAGCAAATGGAGTCGTTGATCAAATACACAGACTTCGAGACCTTGTTGGCAAGATCGAAACAAGGCAAGATCGAAAATTCAAACTCAGATGTGGCCCGGCCTCTCGCCGTTGAGGTGGACCTGCGATCGTGGATCTGGAGGTGCGGTTTTACTTGCTTGCTTTGCCAAAGGAGCACCAGCCTGCCGCCAGTAATCCCACCAGCCAGCAAGATGTAACCATTTAAGGCGGCGAAGGAGAAGAAAAAGAGGAGGAGGTTTTATGATGACGATGACGATCATAAAAGCCCAAGTGATTTGGACCCAAGTATAACGTGCTGTACGAGCGTTAGTTCGCTGGAACACGCACATCAATGACTCGTATTCCTGCGGTTTCGATTTTGAACATCCATCCCGTCCGCGGTGTTTCAGCCTCAAACGACGCTTTCTCTCTCTCTCTCTCAAGTACCGGGTCCCAAGCCGAGTAAATCCGGTGGACCTGATACTTGGTCGCCCATTTAACGGAGCTAAATAAGCGAATAGTTAAGTAAGCTTCTAAGGACGTAACGTACCTAATGAGAGCAAAATTCTAACGATGAGCAGGTATGTGTGTGTTATTGCTGCTGCCGCTGCTACTGTTGTACAGTAAGTAGTGGTTGTCGTCTTGGTGCCCTCCACCCCTTGTAATCTGAAATACCTAGGGTTCGTTCCCTAAACCTTACACTAGCCCAAATCTGGCCTTCCCTTTGGGTGTTCCTGTTGGGTCGTTCACCGATCCCCACTTTACTTCCCCCTGCACTTGGGGCCCGAATAGTCATGGCGACGACACCTTGCTGAGTTGACCAAGCCTCGCCAAGGCCACCTAATTTTAGCTAAGGCGAGAGAAGCCTTGGCCCCCAGCGGATAGGTGTTGCACGCTGGTGGGATGGTACGGTGTACATAGTGAGTTAGACTACCGAGTACGGTGTACCTACCGATGTATGTGTGGATATGCTCTACCGGGCCTGCCCGACGAACTGGCTGACTACCGAGTACGATGTAAAGCACGGTGGAGATGTACTTAGGTACCTCGGTATGTAGGCAGTTACCTATGTGGATAGCGAGGGAGCTAGTCGGGTAGATCATTTGGATTTGAACTTTTGTACGGACCTGGAAAGAGTGAAGCTTGGCTCCTGATCATCGGGGTAAGTGGCAATAGCTATTTAGCTTGCCAGCCATGGTGTCGGTGAGGGGGAGGAAGGTGTTATCTCCCAGCTGTCTTGAATACTAGGATTATCCCTCCCGCGCCCCCTGCTCTGGAGAAGAAGAAACTGCCATGTGGCACAGCAAAGACTCCTGAAGAGCAAAGCGAGGAATTTTCATACGTACGTACTCCCTCTGATTCACGATCACCATCTCTCCCCACTGGAACCATCTGCCAAATACCTCGTGCATAGGCACAAAGCAAACCAGAGATAGGTGCCAAGGCTTACGTGAGCCAAGGGCTGGTGGGCGAAGGCTTCAGTGGCTTGTGGCTGGGCTGGCCAGCATTTCAGCCAGCAATAGAAAGGGAAGCTCGGGGCGAAATCGCGTGCACTTGCATACCTATACTTTGCGAAGTACCGAGGATATTATCCCGCTTCCTATCACCCCTTTTGTTCTATACCATTATATGATTACCTAGGCTAGTATGATGTTAGTGGCATGCCTACAAGTACATGATTCGTCGCGTCGTACCGAGTACAGATCTCGGGTGTTAATACCCAAACCCCCTTTCCCGAACAGGAAGCTTCCAGCCTTCCGACCAGCACGAGAAATTGGAAACCTAACATTTACCGAGTATGGATATGAATGTCCTTGTATCTACGAGGTACCTTTGTACCTTTGTACGTAATGCCTTGGGATTTCCCAGCGCCGTCCGCCGCGCTTCTGCTCCTGGGTAGCACATATATACTCCTGCTCCTTCAGTGTGCCGGCGAACACTTCCCTTTACAGTAGCACGTCCTTGTGCCAGATAAGGCGAAATCCGCATTCCAACAACGGAGTTTAATATGACTGGGATGGAAAGCGAGGGGGAGGACACGGCCGCTCTCTCTCTCTCTCTCTTCCTCTGTCTCGGTCTATCTCGGTCTTTGCCCTACGGCCGTTGAATCCTTCGTGTCTCGGTAACTGGGTTTGGCAGTCCATTACTTACCTACTTAGTCAGTTCACTCGCCCGGGCAGTCGGTTGCTCCGCCGCCTCATCCATCCTCTTCTCGAAGCGAGGACAGAAACCCCTGAGCCCTGTGACGCCATGAGCATCGCGAACAGGAAAAGGCCAAGAGTGAAATCCACTCCGCGTGAATGCTTGGAAAATGCTTGAGCCTGAAGCCGTTTTGGGATCTTTTACTCTTTACGGCAGAAACTGGCTCTCCACATGGTGATCCTGCCAGCCCACTCCTGCCTTATGCAATATGGCCGATCGTCAGCAACTGCAAGTCTCCCGTTATGCAGGACATAAATCCAAGACGATCACCACTGTCGGAAATACCCCCTTGTCTATTGCCTGATACTCGTACAGCCGGGTTGACACGCCACTATTGCCGTGCCCTGCAGATGCAGATGCGAAAACGTTTGAACCGTCATCTTACAAAGCAGCGGTGGCAAAACAAGATGCCCCGAGTGTCTCCGTCACCGCGTGAGAATTTCAGGTCCCATTCCTCAATCATCTCAATCACGGTGGACCTTCCCCTTCGCTCAGTTGGTCTTGTCACATCCCGATCATGCTTGCCCAAAGACGAGGCTCTTCCTGATCTTTCGCCCTCCCTCCCCCTACCTGCCCACCATTTTCACTTCATCAAAGGCCCGTTTCAGTGCCCCTCGCTCTCCCTCCTTCCTGGGCTTGAGCCTTCTGAAACTGCCGGATCAACCCCAGCGGCCCCAACGGTTGCATAATCGCCCTTGCATCACGCTCATCTTCTTCATCTTCACTACCCGCCCCGGAGGAGGAGTCAACTTCGTATTTCCATGACCCCAATTCACTGTCGTGAGTTGCGTGAGTCGTCATCCCCGTGGGCGCAGAAGAGAGGCGCGGTTGGGCCCCTACTCCATTTGGCTGAGATGTGTCTGTTCTCTGAGGCCGAAGCTCAGTGGAATCTTCTTCCTCCGCGACATCGTCGGGGATTTCATGCCCTCGCTCAACGGTAGCAGTCCGACGAAGCTTGGGAGGCAGAGAGGAACGTGGCCGGAGAGCTTGCGGTGACGAAGTAAACCCGCTCACAGAGGGTTGATGATGTGGGTCGAGCAACAACGACTGGAGTGGCGAGCCAAATGGCTGGGATTGAGGATGGCCTTGACCTGTAGCGTGATGCTGAGCGCCGAATCTGGGAGTTCCCAAGGCTCCGCGATGTGATGTTGCTGAACCCAGGCCTCCGCCGCTGTGCCGATGGGCATGCATGCCGCCACTGAACGTATTACCGTGGTCTGTCGCTGGGAAAGATGGTGAGGGCAATCCAGGGATAGGAGGTGGCATGTTGAAGTTGAAGCGCCGCCTGGAGGTGTGGTAGGGAAAATGGATGTCTGTCTTGGGATTGCGGGCGTAGTCGTTCATGAACCCCCAGTAACTGTGTTCGAGCTTGTTGTCCTTGGACGCAAAATAATCATCCCGCAGATTCGCATTGGCATTGGTATTAGGTGCACCTGCGGCAGCGCCTCCTGTCCCGGTCTCCGCCTCTGAGGATCTCTCCTTTGGCGCAGGTCGAATCGCCTGGTTCATGAAGCGAAATTCGGCGAATGTACAAACGTATCCTATACCATCGACGTGCACCGTGAATTCCCGAAAGAAGTCAATGATTCGCTCGCTGCATTTGGGCAGACTGAACCACAGCACAAAGGGCGTGAAGAAAATACTGAGCACTTCCTCCAGGAAAATGACCACCTTCATCTGGTACAACTGGGAGAATTCCTCTTTGACCTCGACGGTGTGAAGACGACCCGCCCAGTGCTGCGGTTCGTAATGTGTAAACTGTATGACTTCTCCGATCGAAAAAGCCGTGTCGTAGACCATGTTGTCATCCGGCAGCAGGCCGCGCGCAACAGCCCATATCGATCCGAAAATGCCGATATAGAATATGGTGGTCCGGCCCGGCGTCACTTCAAAATTCAAGAAGTTGTCTTGGTCCAAAATGGTGGCGAGGCCCAGAACCGACACCACCGCCCCGGATATCAGACTGACAAATCTCGCGATTTGGACAGTCTTGTCCTTTGGGAATTGATTGATATATCTGTCGGCGAAAGGATATGACATGTTTATCCGCCGCCGAAATAGGTGGTGCAGCTCATTGAATTCTCGGAATTTCCACTGCGCAAACGGCGTATACTCTCTCAGGCCGATCTGAGCAGGATTCTTCTGGTAGTCGTTGAAATTCTGAAAGAAGTGCTTCAAGACGAAGAACGTAGCAAGGAACGGTGCAAAGGCAAGGCTTGTAAAACCCGCCAAGATGAATCGTGAACGGAGTGCATTCGCTAGGTCTTTCCGGTGCGTATCCTTCAGGAATAAGGGTCGCACTTGTCCTTTGCGGTTGAAAACAAAGTCCATAATGCACAGTTCAATGTTCCATTCCAATGTTCGAGTAAAGAGCTTGCGGTTGCCGAAGAAGGGGATGGGCAAAGTCAGGTCAAGTATGTCCTTGTTGATCATGGCAATCATGTAGTTCTGTCTTCGCATAAGTCTGTTGGCAATGTCGTGCGCATCCATCCGTTGCTTGTTCTGCGATTTGATGTAGCCACTGGTCCTTTTGGAAGTAGAAGAGATGGTGGGGTTCGAGTCTCGAAGGGCCATCAGGCGACTGACAACCTCTTGCCACGATATTGACTGAATTTCTGGCTCAGGTATGTCGAGGAGGTAATAATAGAAATCGTGCATGTGTTTCAAACGAGGGATATCGAAGAAGTACAGGACACCTTTCCAAAGCCAAATGAAAGTGGTGAGCCAGAGCAAAGCATTCGGAACAAACCCCATTCTTTTGGTACACTGTGGTACCAGGATCTCTGACATCTTTGTGCTCCCTCTGATCTCTCGGTAGTCGATACACTGAGTGAGAAAGATGGAAAAGCCAACCACGAAGGCCACAGTCAGGAGATTGAAGAATCGCATGAGAACCGTGGACCAGAAGCCGTGATTGAGGTAATAAGTGTACACCTCCAGCAGGAAGTTATCCAGATCTGTCACGTTGACCCACCGAAACATGGCTTTCTCCTTGGGATCTGCACTGGCAAGGTTGCCTCCAACGATGCCTCCAGCTGGCCTAACTTGCGTCGCATTCCGGCTGCTTGGACTGGTCTTGGGACGGTATCTTGCATGGAAATCTTGAGCAGCCGTCGGACTCGTGTCGCGACCTTGTAAAATGCCTTCTGGCATGAGGCTCGGAGGAGGAGGCAGCGACATGGAACCATGATCAAGGCCCATTGCATTGTGATCGATCAGTAACGACGCCGGAACATCATCGTCCGCCTCTTCCACATCCAAGAGTTTATGAGCTCTCGGGGTCCGCCTTGGCTTGTTCTGAGCTCTGCGTGTGTCTCTCCGCTGCAGCTGTGGTTCCCCGGAGGTAGGAGCAGCACGGCCATCATGACGAAGGCTTCTCCGATGTGATGGAAGATTGGAGGAGTGCAATTCTTGATTGTTGAATCCATCTCTTCCATTTGCTCCGTTTGCAGCCAGCCCTGCGGTCTCCTCGACATCGAAGTTGTCCGAATCCTCATCTTCCTGCCGGATAGCATCATAGATAGAGGCAGAAGGGTTGTTGGAGCCCGTAAACCGAGACATGAAGTTGGAAGCCATCATGGGCTACCATCGAGAATTCGTTTGGCGTTGAAGGAGCGTGCAGTCGAAGGTGAGAATTGAGAAGAAAGGCTGAAGGGAGTGAGCAACGGTCAAGACATGGTCATCTCGGCGCGCCTATGTCTGCAACTGTCAGTGCAAACGCTCTCGCGCAGGCACATGACAGATTCTCTCAACAGGCAGAAGAGGGAGAGTGGGGGTGGTCGGATCGTGTGCAGATGATCACTACAACAAAGGGCTATGAAACGCACGTTGATCCCGAAACGCACGATATCGATGCAAGGTGATGAACAGAGTAGAGAAGAAAGGAGGGAAAAGAAGGAGGGATGCAGCAGTCAGTCGAGTGGGAGAACAATGCGGCTCTGGTTGGCCCTGAGTAAACAGCTCCCCTTTCCCCGGAAGTCAACGCAGGTCTCGCACAGGTTTAAGCGTTAGTCTCACAAGGCTGCTCCCCGCACTCCCGACGAGGCTGTACACCATTCTTGATCTCTGATTTATTGGACTGGGTAATGGGGTAGTCGTGATCATTCTTCTATGCTAATCTACATTGATTCAATTATAGAGCGAGGTCCATTGGTTGCTGCGCCATCTATCCTTCTCTTCAAATGAAGGAGCGTCGCCGCTCAACTGCACATTGCTTTCTCTCTAAAAGAAGAGGGCTGCCAGAAACGAAACAACGAAACATGCAATCACCCACTGTTGATGCTGTTCCACTTTTGATCTGTCGAGCTTCTCTAAGCCGCTGTATCCGGCCGCCAGCACAATAGTGAGAAGGATCAATCTGTTCAGAACGCCGGTGATGAATTTGAAGCATAATAGTGGTATGAGCGTCATCGTGAGAATGCAAATAGGGACGTATTCTAAAGCTGGGCCAGCTGAATGCGTTGATGTGGACGGGGGAGTCTCTTTTAATGATATCAAATCCTCATTGTCGTCTAGGAACTTGGACTCTGGGAGCGAGAGGGGGCTGTGTTCCCGCAACCACGTCCGAAATTGGGCAATTTCAGTTACAGTTGGAGATGAGGAAAGCATGCGGACTCTCTGGGAGGCTGAAAGAACTTGATCTGAGACCGGTCAGTGTGTGACATCTGTTTCGTGAGATTCTTTAGCGTACAGTATTGTTCAAGCTTCATCGACAACCGTCCCAAGACATGTAACCGATGTGCCGGCAGATCTGACTGGTTCCATTGCCAGCTTAGTCTCCTCGAAGCCGGCGACATGCTGCCGTCCGGGTTGAGCCGGCTGCGGCTATCGACCGAATCCAGAGCAGCCAGCTGTTCTTCCATCTCGATGATTTCGTCCTGTAATTGTAAAAGCAGCCGAAAATATATCTTCTTAAAACTCCGAAATACTGGCGGAAGCTCCCCAGACGCCAGTCTATCCGCAATGAGATCATATCCGGACAAGGTATTTCGTGGTAAGGAAAACTCTTTGTCGCATCCGTCAGGCATATGTGACATGCGTGCGCGAACATGCAGAGGGCTCGGCGTCCTCTCAACCAGATTCGGTACAGGAGGGGTATGGGTGGCCGGAGGCACCTCTGGATATTTCCATTGTAACCGTTGCGAACGACTGGGTTCGGCCGCGCGTGGTTTATGGTTCTCTTCTTGTTCCTGGACATCCTCCAGCAAGGGAGGTAAGTGGGTGTCAACGAAAGGATCATTGGTGGGGTGGATAATGCTATCGCCCATTGAGATCCCTGAGTCTGAATGCATGCTCGGCACGATGCTATCACTATCAGACTCGTCGGACACAGCAGTGTTCTTCTCATCTTGAGGCTCCTCTTTGGCATCCGGATCGGCGGCGGTTTGCTCGTCGTCCTTGACAAGAAAGGCGAAGACGTCTACTGATTCTCTGGACATACTTTTCTCCTTGGTGGCATTCTCTGGGTCGGTCTTCACCGGCGAGGCCTTTCTCTCCCGACCATCGCCCAGCTTTTTCTGCTTGGAGGATGATCTACTTCGTTTACTCGAACTGGAGGTTGATTTGGAGTAGGATTCTTGCGTGACGGTAGATGAGCTATCGGTGGACCCATGGGATCCGGTGGTGATTGCAGTAAGGAGGGACAGCTTGGAAGAGCGAGCACCCTTGTGGCCGGCGTAGGTCTGGCTGCGACGCCGACGACCTTGATCGCGCACCGACCCGGACATGCAGGATTGGAGAGATAGCTTGGCTCAAGGGGGCCGTTCATGGGAGATCCGGAGAGCATGAAGGTGGTGGCGATAGTAAGGCTTGAATGCATCCAGCAGTGATTGAGAGCGGAGAACCTGTAGCGAAGAGCTCCATAATTTGGCAACGACGGGAATGATGCATGAACGAAAGGCAATGTCATGAAAGCAAGACAGAGAGTGGCGGCGACTAGCATGAGTGTATCATGGTCATCCCTTGTTGCACGCAGAACGAACCAAGTGTGAGGTGACAGGTTCGAGGGGAGGGGCACTGACATGTAACACCACCCCTCTGAACAAGGAAAAGGGACGTTTCAGCGCGCTAGAGTGACGTCCTTCTCCTGGGCGACATGAGGGAGGCTCAGAGGGGAAGGGGGGACGGCGAGGTCAGGCGAAAAGGAGCTCGTTGAGGCCTTAAGGGGAGGAAATGTGGGAGGACAAGGAAGTCTGTCCAAGGAGGTCACTGGGTTTTATCTGGGCGAATCTGCATCGGAGATCAAGATATTCGTGCCCAACGCCTGGCATGAGCGGATAGATGCCAGCGAACAGCATGGCGCGAGCTCCGTTGCCACAGCCGCCCACCAACAGTCGGATCCAAGGGAGACCAGGCATCGGGGGGAATGAGGCATGCACGACGGCCCCAAGCACTGGCCAAAACTGTTGGCTAGTGGGCGAGTGGGATATCGGATGAGGCAGAAAATTCCAGTGACATGCTGATGCAGATTGATCATTCGATCGACGTCTCATGATGCCGGACAATGCAATTGGCCGCTGCCGTGCAAGAAGTATACGTGGGCTTTTTAAAACGTTCTTTGGCGGACCGAAAGGGATCTGGCTCTCCTTGTGCACTGCTTCAACCGAACAAGGACCCAGATCTGTCGGCAAGCTGTTCAAGGGGGAAAGGGGGGAAATGAAACAAAAAGGCCAAGAGCCAATATCAATGACCGATAGTCGAATCACGAGGCAGAGAGAAGGAGAAGGCGACCGTCTTTTGTGCATATGACGGGGAAATTCTGGCGACGCTGATTGCGCCAGCAAAGCCGCTTAGGCAGGCACATGCAGCCCGCCGCCCCCCCTAATGCGCGGTACCGACAGATTCGCCTGTCATTATAAAGGCAGGCGGTGAAAAACTTCGGCTCTGGGGTGAAGACAACAGAGCCATGGGGATGTGTATAAGACGAGGGACACCCGGACTTGGAACAGCCCACACGAGAAGAGGTTGAATGAAAGGTAAGTATAGTATAGCATAGGAGGGTTGGTTGGGGGCAGCATCATGTCGATCCAGGCCCCCTTTCCACTCGAGCGCCTCTTTCTAACGACTCACAGTTCTTGCAAAAAACTGGTCGACTAAGCACATTGCTCACTAGACAGAGCTAAAGACAATCCACCAATGCATCTTTAGGGTCAGACACCAATTAGGAATCCCAGAATCTCCAGCCAGGAGTCGCCCGGGCTCCCTCGCACAAATCAGGATGTTTCGCTTTCCACTGCTCATCCACATCGTCAGGGAACCTCTCCTTGCCTCTGGGCACGAATCGTAAGGGAACGTGTCCAGCTCTCATCTGCAAAGATATGATGACGCTGAGGCCATTGAGCATCAAGTGCCTCGCTCGCTGGGCAGCCTTTTGCCAGACCTCCACGCGAGCATCCTCATCCATGGCTATTACCTGCTCATCCGTTGCCCACTGGTCGACTGCCAACTCGACTGAGTAATTCTGCAGGATGACAGCCAGGGTAGCAAGCACCTCGACTTGAGCAAACCGTCGTCCGAGGCAAGCGCGATATCCGTCACTGAACGGGAGGTATGCCCCCTTGGGTGGACGATAGAATCGCTCCGAGGTGTCAGCTGCCTCGTTGATACCCAAGCCATCTGCAGTGACGGTTTCATTCGGCATTTCCTTCTTGCCATTGGCCATCACATGCTCGACCTCACTATCTTCGTCCAAGAGCCACCGCTCCGGATGAAATTCCTCCAGATCGTTGTCCAGGTTCGCTGCGGGATGCACCTGCTTCCCGCCCGGCAGCGAGGGTTTGCTTGTGGGCCAATACTTTGGATTTCGATGGACATTGGCCGTCGCTAGACTGATATAGACTCCACTGGGGACAGTGCAGGGCTTTCCATCAATAGTTATGGGTTGATCAGGGACTCCCCAGGTCGACTTTGGTATTCCTATGACAGGCGGGACCAGCCGCAGCTCCTCAGCCAGTACCGCACCGACCATGCCTCCAAAGAGAGCGGGCAAATCACGTTCATAGTCCCATTCTGAGGGAGGCTTGCCCTGAAATATCCGATCCAAATCCTTTTGCGTTGCCCTTTGGCTCTTTGGATAGAGCGCCAGGTAGAGGAGAGAGAAATGGATGGAATTGGCGGCAGTCTCATGCCCTGCTAGGATCAAAACAAACATGTTCCCAAGGACCTCGGAATCCGTAAGAGGAATGTCTTTGCTCTTCTCAGATGCCATCTGACCTTTGACAAGTTGGGCTAGCAGATCCATCTGGTCCTTGCTGTTCTCACTTCCCACTTCAAGGGTCTTCTTTTTGGAGGCCACTGCTTCTTTCATATAATTTCCCCATTCATAGTACGCCTCGTTGGCCTTCTGAAATCTTGTGAATGGCATGCGCTTGACGATCCACCTGGGCACGAGGAACTGCACAAGGATATTGTCCAACAAGCAGTGGATGGCATAAGTGTAACTCATCGAATGACCGAGATCGCGATCATCCTGGTCATTCTGAATCTTGGACTTGTCAACGTAGTTGACGTCGACGTCGGCTTTGGCATCGGCGGAAGGCCACTGTAATTTCCTTCCAAAGCCTGCTCTGCTAATGACATACAGGCTCAGGCGCATGGTATCGTCCATGACGCGATCCACCGTGATGTCGCCTTTTCCATCAGGTCCAACCCACGAAGCCAGCATGTCTGAAGCCTGGTCAATGCTCTCGGCCCAGACTAGGTGGTTGTTCTTCTCCGTGAATGGCGGGCTTGTGGCTTTCCGGTGCTGACGCCAGATAGTGCCTTCAGTTGACACGACATTTTTTCCATAAATGTCGAGGGACCGGTAAATAGCCGTTGGCTTAGGAAAATCATTCCTCCGCGTGGTGATCTGGGTGATGACGGCAGGGTCGGCAGTGTGCATCATGATGCCACCCGGTCCAACCAGAAGAAAGGTGTCGGCGCCGACCTGCTGGAAGACGTCGATGCTGCGGCGGTAATAAAAGTCTGGAATGCAGAAGTCCACCCATTGGGTCCAGCTATATGGCAGTTTGGCAAGCAAGGGAAGCCACAACGGGTGGCTTATGAGCCACCACGTGCTGAGATAGCACACCGGAACAGCAACATACGGGATGCCAGATTGCTTCGCCTTGTTCAGGTTGCGGCGGAAGCAGATCACAGTGTTGACCACGCTGTACAGAAGGTAGGCACACAACCCGAGGCCAACTATCGACCACATCTCGACGCCGGGTGTTTCTGGTGGGATAGATTGCACAGAGTACGAGATCTTTCTGGAGAGAGCAGAGAAAATATAACGAGTTTCCGTCCAGGGAAAAAAAGGGAAACAGGAGGCATGTGATGGAAATAGAAAATGCGAGGCGGGGCGTGTCTGAGAAGTGTCAAAGAGGAAAGGTGAACGAAGTTTCGAAGGGCAGTGGCCAAGGGCAGCCAGTTCAGGGATAGGGATGATCAGAAGCCCGAGTTGAGGTGGTATACTGTGGATGTCGCCATGTGGATGATTTATGATGATGGAACGCAGTCGCTTAGCGACTGGAAGGCGCCTACGGGATACTTGTAGGAAGTTCTTGAGAGCGCGTGTGGACGAGCGCGGGAGCATTTGTTCAAGCGAGATTTCGATTAGGCATCTCGAATGGGGCAGTCGGCCGTGGCAGCGATGGCGGACTCGTTGTCAATGAGTGAATCATCAGCAGTTTCTTGTGGAAGGAAGCGTAGTCAGTGGAAGGGGTTGTACCGGTTGGAGACAAATCACGGTGGTCAGTGTAAGCACTTGGGCGACACAAGATCGAAGCGAGCCTCGGCTAGGCACGCCTGACTCCCTATGGGCCCCCCGAGCGCCCTAATTACAGGGCCTCATCAGCCCCAAAGGCCCCCAACAAGGTTCGATAAGGTTCAACAGGGTTCCTTACGTCGCTTGTAGGCTTCCTGGCTGCCTCCCTCCAATGGCTGCCAGCGGCCATCCATCCGATGTTGCACGTCCACGCCGCTGAGCAGGATCGTCTTTGTTGCTCTCCGGGCTTTCTCCATCAAGGACTTTCACCCTAGCTTAACAAGTCCGGAGGATATCAACCAGCCTCAATGATGACGATGACGATCAATAGGATCATGTTCATGGACAAGGCAGATCCTCCTTTCGGTGAACATGCATTAATGGGAAAGATGCTCCGCAGTCCAGATACCAGACCCAGGCAGGCACGGCCACACAACACAAACCAGAGACTTCAAGCTCGTGAAATCCTGGATTTACTACCGAAAAACAGAACTGCTCGCCGTCATCATTTCTAGAGCTGCTTTAACAGACCGGGCTGACTGCTCAAGACGACAACATCATGAAACATCATCCATGCGATCAACGACGCAAACCTCAAAAGAGAAAAAGAATTAAGAAAAAAAAAAAAAACCACCACACAGCCCTAGTCCACCTTATTTCCTGATGCCCAACTTTTCCATTTCCTTCCTTTGTTCCTCGCTCCATCTCTCCACTTTCTAAGCGGTTGTTTGTTCCAAATGTGTTCCTTGGGCTTCTGCCGCCGGCTTCCCCGTGGGCTCGGGATCTGCTACGGGGTCAGGAACCTCCGAAGTGGCTCGAGTGCTGCGGTCATCCATGGGCATCAGATTTGTTCCCAGAGCCCCAGCATTGGAGTGAATCGGCTCGAGATGAGGTTCCCATCTTTGCAGCTCTTGCTCCGCGTCCGCGAGCACCTGTCTTGCTTCGCCAACTTGTGCAAAGGGTTGGCGCACGTCTCCCGGCACCACGGGGGTGTCGTCTAACAAGTTCAAGAGGCGTCGGCCGTACTTGGCCAGGATGATTTGTTTCTCGGCTCGCTCAATCGTGGCCGCGAAGTGCAAATCGTATGCTTCCTTGACCTTTTGACGAGTCTGCATTGGACACGTTAATACAACGCTACAAATCGCCGGGGACGTGTTCTGAATTGAGCCTGGGGTGTCTTACGATATTGGTAAGTTGGGCTTCCGCGACGAGGTTCTGGGCTTCCGCTCGCACCAGTTCTTGCTCCAGCGTGACCAACTTGGGGCTGGACGGTTCCTTATACTTGAGCTTTTGGATCTCATCGCTGATTTTGATCTTCTGGTCCCTGCTGGGTTGCACACTGGCTTCGATGTTTCGGATCTGCTTTAAAATGGCCCGGTAGTCCTCGAGATTTTGGGCAAACAGATCCTCCTGCTCTCCAATCTCCGATAGGATGACCCCAATCTTGTCCGAAATGTCCGAGACGGCATCATCGTTGGTAGCTTCGCCCCAGTCGGACAGCTGCGAGGCAATGGATAGGCGTTCACGGCCCGCGGTCTCGTAGGCTTCGATGCAATGGTTCTCGGTCTTGATCAGCTTGAAGAGTTTCTTGGAGAGCTCGGCCTGGTGGATGCCGCGGAGAGTCGAGATGGAAAAGGTGTGTCTAGATGCTTCTTTGGCATGGTCGTCCTTCTTGCGGGACCGGATGGATAAAGCTCGATTCATGGCGGATGGTGCTTGGGGATCTGTCCCGGATGCTCAAGCTGCTGCGGATATTAGTCTTGATAACACGCGATAGAGGGCGGGCAAGCTTCAACGAGCTCCAGAATGCGCAATGGACTGGGAAGAAGACCAGCTGAAGGTGGTCTGAACAAACTGGGTGCGGCGGGAGTACAAGAACCCCTCGAGTCCCAATACAGCAGAGCGCAGGGAATGTGCTGGTGCGCAAGAAGAGGGCGACGGGACAGATGACGTATTGGACATGGGAGCTTGGTGGGGTCAAGACCTCCAGAGTGCCACGCCGTGGCCTGGACCATTTGAGCCTTCTCTGCCACCCTACTCCTAGCCAACTCCCCATTGCCTCCTACCATGCCCAGTAGTACCGAGTACACGTTGCTATACTTCACCAACGTGCTTGAAGATGAATGGCAAAAGCGACAAGATCGTCCCATTGTCATACAGTAAATTAGTTACCCGAATCATCGCTCCGAAGTCGAAGCTACATATACATATCTGATCCACCCGCATAGCCATCGTTGCGACAACCTCAGCCTCACGATGCTGCAACAATGATACCATACACTTCCCTCCACCGTCACGAGCTTCAAAATTCCACCATGGCCCATCAGTAATAAGTGCGGTCCCTCTCCCTTCTCTGCTCAGTCACAATCCTTGTCCTACTGCCGCTGCGGCGCCGTGGATCGTAAGAATAGTCGGAATGCCGTTCTGAATAGCGGTCGTGGCTCGGCCGGTGGGCAGAGGTTGATCGTTTGGTGACAGTTTCTCGTCTATTTTCTCGCCTGTAGGTGGCAACCTCGGGCCTTGACACATATTCTCGAGTGTAGCGCTGTCGTGGGCGTTCGTGCCGCCTGATGACCACGGCTTCGTCTCTATCGCCGCCGCCGAAGCACATGTTTGCAGTCGAAGTTGACGATGGACCTCTTTACGTTGACTGTACAAGAGAGATAGTTATTGAAAGCCTGGACAGACGGAGACGGCACGCGTTCACCTTGATCTGTGCGCGGAGAGGAAAGAAGATTGCGGGCTGATGAAAATAGTCAGACATAGAGGAAAATGAGCCGTCTTCATATACTCCGTACCAACCAGTCTGCGGCAAGGTAGAAATGCGTTCAGGGTTCATTCGCCTTCGCCCGGTTAAGGCCCTGCCATACGTATGTGTGCAGGGTGGACTCAACATGACGCCTTGGACGACATCATACCACGCGGCAGGGCGAAGGAACCCACCGTCTATAGACGAATCCGGATGCTTCGTAGCAGGGATGCCTTGCGAGCTAGTTCCAAGCCCACCAGCCTCACCAGCTTCACCGGTCGATGCGTCTCTACCCCCCACCTTGGTTCGCGAACCACCCCTATATCACGCGTTTCGTCCAACCCCGTGTAACGTCCGTCAACCCGATTGAGCGGGAGGCCAATGTCGGTGGCGCCCTGTCGGCGCCGGGCCTGCAGTCCCATGCAAGCTCTCGTCGAGTCCTCGTCACTTAAACTCAACCTCATCCATCTTCGCATTTTGATGGGCAAGAAGAGAGGCAACGGGAATGAAATACCAATAGACTGACGACTCAATGATCCACTTCTCGAATCAAAAGGATACACGCGTGGTCAAAAGGGGCAAAAGGGAAACATGACTCGCCAGTTCTCATTGGCTCCGTCTCCTGCCCTGTCGCTAGGTATTACATTTCTCTTGCTGCCTGTCGAGGTACGGTTGAGAATCTATACGCATCTCTTCTACCACGCTGGAGAGCTCTTTGTTGCGCTTAAAAGCTTTGCGGATCATTATTCTCAGTCTTCTCAAATCCTCGGCGTCTGCCAACAGATATACGTCGAAGCCATCCCCATCCTGTACGGAGTGAACAAATTCTACTGTGGCTTACGCCCCCGGAAGGACAACAGCGAGATCCTGCCACGGTTCGTCTCCACCCCCAATTTCGCACACGTTCGCCATTTGGTCCTCGATCGGCCCCTAGTTCGAGTCTTTGCCCAGCTTCTGGCCAAAGAGGAGCATGTCGTCGCAACCAAGGGGTTGGAATCCGTTGCGCTCGGCAAGTGGCGGTTCTGCGATCGGCTGACAAGCACCGCAGCGGCCTTGGAGATACGCCGCCGTGGGACTCACTTCGAAGGGTCCCAGTTCTGCAATCCGGCCATGGAGATATGTCGGAAACACACTCAATTGCGACACCTGGTGGAGCAGACGAAAAAGATAAGCCTTAAAGTACTGCGCAATGGCGGGACGGATGAGAATGGAGAGTCGAGAAAGGAAGCAGGTTACAGGACCTACATACAATATAGATGGCTACTCGTCACCGACAGAGGTGCAAGAAACCTGGAAGAAGGCGAGGAGCTCGTGGATCTGGAGAATTACTTGTAGCTCGAGACGGTGTTAGGAGGACCCGGATGAAAGGTTCATCGCCTCAGTTCGTAGACGGTCGCCCGAGCCGCCCGGCGAATCCTCATCCTCTTTCCTGAGGCTGATAGATCGAGCCGTGGGCAGACCAAGACATCTTGAGAAAGGATGCTTGGAGCAAAAAGGAATGCAAAAGCCGACGATCAATTCGCGATTAATATAACAAACCTCCATGGATTAAAAATTGACAATTTTCCTCCTCACCGTTCCTGATATAAATAGTCTCATTTCATTCTCATCACAACCTCTCTTTCCACGAGACGAAAAACCAGGGCCTTTCTCCTAGAATAGAACTGAAAAGGCTTTACCGCCAGGCCTAATGGTACACAAGACGCAAGGATGTGACCTAAATCCCTCGCATTATTGTTCTCTTCGCTTTGTTCCGGCCTCCGCGTTCCGGTCTGGTGCTGGTTTACCGAGAAGCCACCATCGTCTGGGCCGCACTCTGAGCCGCAGGGTTCTGACTAGAACTGTCGCCTGGAGCGTTGTTGCTGCGGTCTGCAGCGCCCTCGTATCTCCCACTATAAGCACCTCCAGCTGTCCGTGCGGCAGCTGCGGTTGGTGTGGTGGGCGTCCCAGAGCCCTGCCTCTGCTGATAAGTGTATGGTGTCTGCGGCTGCTGACTTTGCTGAGTCTGATATGGCCTAGGCGGATACTGCTGAGCTTGTCCAGGGGCGCCATTGACCAGTGGCTTCTGCGGCGAGGCGGATCGCGCTAGGGTGGTGGCATTGTCTTGAGCGCGTTGTTGATATCCTGGCTGAGTCGGGCGGTACCCGCTAGGAGTTTGCGGTTGGGTTTGTGCCTGTGCCGACGCATTGTTGCCGTAACTTCCATAACCATTTTGCATCGAGGGGCGCTGAAATTGTTGGATCGTGGGACGTGCTGATGAGTAGGGATTCGGGGAAGCTTGATATGCATTTTGCGGATATGTTGGTCGTGCAATAGTGGGGGTTTGATAATTTTGCTGCGTTCGGATACCATAAGCCGCTGTGGCTGGCGCAGAAGTGTTGTAATTCCGAACTTGGGAGTTGTATGCCATCGGGTTGGCTTGTGTTTGTGAATAGTTCGGGCGAACTTGTTGAGGAGTCACTGTTGTGCGGCTTGCTCCTGTTGTGGCCTGCTGAACTGTCTTTTGCCGTCGCAATATGTAGTCGTCTGTCTGTCCCGTACCCGGGTAGTCAGGCACTTCGACAATAAGTTTTGTCGAGATGTTCAACTCTTCGAGTTGATCTCCGTTGAGTTTAGAGACAGCAAAAGGCGGCAATGATGAGACCAAGACGTGCAATTGGTCTCTCAGCATCGCAAAGGTGTCGATCTCTGGGTTCGTTGGCTTCGGTACCGTGCCAGCAACGATTGTCTCAAGGCTACGGTTTCTCTGATAGGAACTGAGAGTTTCGATCATTTCCGAAACTTCTTCCAAGAGCTTTTCGACCTCTTTTTCTGGATTTTCGGGTTGCGCATCTTCTCCATCTTCCTGCGGCTCGAAATTCGCGACCAAGTCGGCAAATTCATCTTTGTCTCCCGCTTCTCCGGTTTCCCCACCGGCCGCCGATACGTTGAAGTCTCTTGTCCTGAAAAGCCTTGATAGCTTTTGCTCGCCGTATTTTTTCCACCATTGCCTGCTTTTGTCCTTGTCAGACACGAGAGAATATGAGTTATCTGTACTCGGCGCAAAGGAGGAATAGACAGAGCTGAACAATTCATCTGGACTCAAATCATGACCCTGTCGCACACTGTTAGCCTCGAGGGCGGCCTTGAAGTCATTGTTACTGGATGCAGGCTGTACCCTTCTTCGATCTTGTTGTAACTGGCTGCTTGTGGTAGAATAGGAGAGCCATGAACCCGTGGCCAACCTCGCAAACTTGTAATCATGCTTATTCTGGGGCAGATTCTCCGTGCGACTGGAGTTTGGAATGAATTCCAGGGTATTGCCTCTCACAACATCCCTTGCCGTGTGTGGCAGGTCCAAAGGTTTGATCCGGCCAGCCTGGCGAAAGACTGCCCCAAATAATCTCTTTTCGGGCTTCTTGGTTGGTTCTTGATCTCCACCCAATGCGGAAAAGTCTGTAAGTTCAAATCCGTTGGGTAGCCTTGAGCTTTCAGTCTCAGATATACCAAGCGCTTCATCTTTTTTGCGTTGTTGCTGCAGCTGAAGACCGGAGAATAGGACTTGAACACTGCCGTTGACCTGGCTGCGCAGAGACAGGAATTGTTTGGAATCTTGACTGACCGGATCTGCCTTGGGTAAATCCTGGCCATTGGTTTGGTGAATTTCGGATGACTCGGTGTCATACCTCTCCAGCGCATCTACTAGCTTTGATAATTGTCCTTGGACGTCGGATTCCGTCTTGCCATTTTGCGTTGTCGCGGATAGGTCGGTAACCATGGCGCTTTGAACACTTCGGACATCGTCTTTGAGAGCACGAAAGGAGTTATACGTCCCTGTCAGAATACGATCCTCGATAGTATCGCTGGCGGATTCTGACTTGACAAGGCGGGCTCGCTTTACTTCGGGCGCCTCGGACTTGGACGAGGGCAAAGGGTATTTGAGAAGCGACGGAGTAGTGTCGTACCTAGTCTCAGTGTTAGCTCAATGAGTTGCAGGCGTTGAAGGGAGCAGACGCACTTGCGGAGAACTCGCAGGACATCTTCCAGAGCAGACTGTAGAGCAGGGTCTTTTGGTCCGATTTCCGGGGACAGTGTGCGCTTCCTCTTTAGTGGACGCAAAGGCGAAACAGTAACAGTGTCTTCGTGCTTTGATATGCCGTTGACTTCGGCCATACTGGCACCTCGTCGTGATGGATTTGGGAGCCCAGTTGGCGATTGTGGTGGCGGGCAAGGAGCGGAGTGGGCTAAGTCGACCACATGCAAATCTCAACGTATATCGCAATACTAGTCTCTTGACATGGTTCGAATCCTCGCTGTGCGCAAGAGACGCGCGGCTCTTGTTTGAAAAGTCGAAAACTGCAGTGTCGACTCTGGGGAAAGAAAAGGGAGCGATGAGGGGGTTGTCCACACGCGCCGTGGACTGCAGGATGACTGGATTGAGGAAGGCAATAAGAGAATGGTCCACCGAGTGTGGTAGGGTGCAATGGGGTAAGCCACCAGGAGCAGGCCGGTTGTGGATCGCGAAATGAATCTAATACCTGGCTGTTTTTTTTTTCGCTGCAAATGCACCGGATCTGAAGTCGATGCAGTTTGACTGCGATCGACTGACACCCGCAGTCAGTTGCTGGCTTGGCGCGCCTGCGCAGCTTCAACCTTCGTCTTCATCCTCCACCTCGCCTTCGGGTTTCGCTCCAATCGACAGAAATGACATTTGCATTGACTTCTTAGTCAACCTCTATCACGCGAGCCAGTTCTCTTCCTGATATTTCCTAATAGCTTCCCAACTGAAGCATCAATGGATGCTCAGCGTCCATCGTGTTCGCCTTCCGATCGGAAGACCTCTTCCATCCTTTATCCTACCCGCACAATCCCCTGTAAGAGTTGCCCAACACCAACATCGAGCCCGACAATATGGGAGTCGACCTGAAGGCAAGAAGCCAGCTCTTCCAACAGCAGCTGCATCGGACTTTCTAGCTCACCAACAAGCTCTTTTCCCTACGGAGTTCGCCGAGTTTTCAGAGTACATCAGACCAGATGGCTCGTTCCATCTTAACGGTATCCGGGGTGCCAAAGAGGAGGCAGGTAATAATAAAGAGATAGAGCTGGATCTCAGTCGCAAGCCTGACAACCGCGAGAACCGTCCACTTCACTGGTCACCGTTTCGCAGAAGATTAGATCAGATTCTCTCCATGTTTCTTCCCTCTCATCCTAGACGGAACAGAATCGACTTGTCCTACACCAATGCTCTCAAGTGGCAGATCAACAACCGAAAGCTGGACGAACAGTCTACAACGAGATTCAGGAACTCGACTGCTCTGCGCAAACTTCTCCTCGACTACCTTCACAATGTCGCTCCCCTTTCCCATGGTACCGAGGACGAAGAGAAGCTTTTGTCTGCACTAAAGTCTACTTTTCCCGATACCTCTCTGAAATTGCTGAAGAAAATCGGCTATGATGTTACGGATATCGCCAGTTGGGCATGGATTTTCTCCTCTGACAATGTTGACCTTGCCTTTGCAAGATATGTCGCACTTGCACAACACATACGCGAATCTGGACAAGGTCGGATACCGAAGTTCGTGTTTCTACAACTCCTTCGCGCAGAAAACGTCAGCGCCTTCGCCCTGAAGGGATTCATAAAAAGTATCTTGGTCGATTTACAGATCTGCTTGGAGGCCAAAGAGTATTTCGGCTGGCCTTGGGTCACAAGAGTGTGCCTGGTCGTTCGACTACTACGACATGCTCGTTCAGTGGCACCTGAGTGCTTCGAGGACATCGGCCTCATTGTTAAGCATCTCTTCTCTGATTACTACACCGTCCATCCTCGTCGACTCGAAAGTCCGGAGTTACTGCGTCTTTCCCACATTTTCAATCGCTTCCTGTCATTGATCTCTCTGGCTCCACACAAAACACCGTACAATGCATATCTCTCACAGCAAAATGCACAGCTGGCACTCGTCCGTCTCATGTTTGATTTTACGCCACAACTGTTGTTGACTCGCGAAGGCTACCGCGCTTTGATTGCAGTCCAATTACTTCATCCCAAGACTGCACACGAACGTGCGTGGGCGGAGGCCAAGTCTTTGTCTTGGCCCCCTTGGCGTCACATCAAGTCGGGAATCGAACAGGATCTCCAGTATCCTGGGAAAGAGAGTCGTGTTATCAAGCTATTGCGACGAATGAAAGCGGCGGGATATTCTCATGGTGATTGGGAAAGGAGTGCTGCAGTTCTAGCTGGGTGGGATACGGATAAAAGCCCTACGATACAATCTCGTGCGATATTGATGCGCCAACGACGCCCGTGGCTTCTGTTACGGAGCTTTCGTGACAAGGAACAAAACGAAACCAACGAGCCG